GGATAGTCAGCATTTGACTCATCCCCACGGAACCAATGCAGACTTTGCGATGCACAGCGCATCCACTTCGAATCGTCGACCAAGGCTTTCGTCCGAGATCCCTCTCGAAGGATCGTCGGCCACGTTGGACGCGGTGTTGACCCGCTCAAACCAAGGAATGCAACAAACGGCGTCGATGGCCTCGTGGGTCGCGTCCACGATGCGCATCCCAATCGTGTTATCCGAGGCGCCCTTTATCATGCAGGCACGTGTGCCCTCGTTGTCCGAAAAAACGACAATGTTGCAGCCCTTGAGGAGACCCCTCCAAACATGAAAGCACATGAGCACTGCCAGGCATTCACACTCGAAGATGGGGTTCTTGCTGTCGGGGCCGATTAGCTGCCGAAGTTCGGGAGTGGCCCATTCGCTGAAGTGACCAATCTTTGTCCCGTTGTCCGAGATGAGGACGCCACCAAGACCTATGCGGTCGTCGTCGCAGGAGGCATCCACATAGACGTGCCACAGGTGTAGCACATTGGCACTCAAGGATCTTGGTGGCCCTTCAAGGAATTTGTCACGCAAGAAGAGTAGAGCTGCCCTCAAGCTGTCCCCAACGACCGGGCTCCGTTCCTTGAGGTGCTCCGACAACACCTTGAAGGCAAGCCCAGCTTTCTTTCCCGCGATCTGGTTGGAGGCGAACTGTAGGCGCCCTCTGAGTTTCTCGCAGTCCTTTCTGGTCAGGGTTCCAGCCTCAAGAACCGCAGACAGGCTGTCTCTCAACTCCTCACGGCGCGTAATCGTATTCTGCATGTAGAAATTTCCCAGGTGCGACTCCCTTAAGTCGAACTCCAGGCCTAAGACCTTTGCGATGCTTCCGAAGGTAGTTGGCTTGTCGGGGGACGTGTCCCAACCAAGAATCCCAAAGAGCGTTTCAGCGCAAAGATCGAAGAGCCGTGAGAGAGGGGGGACTTCGCCGCCTACGAAATCATCAAAATACACTGACCACATCAGGGCTAGCTGGACCGCTCCGACAGTCCAGATGCCCAGTGAGGTTCTGCAAAAGGAGTGAACCGATGCGCGGGCACCGAAGGGCAAGACACACTGCTCGTAGATTTCCGCCTTCTTGGTTCGTGGGTTGTACACTACGAGATAGGCTTGCTCAATTGCCTCAGCACTCAAGGGAAGATGTTTATATGCTTTATGCAAATCATACGACTTCATCAAGAGCCCCCCGTGCTGACGGCACTTAGGGTCGTTCCTGAGCCTGTAGGCAATCGTAGCGGCAATTGCATCCGCCGTGTGGACAGTGACGCTGTC